ATTGGCATTCAGTCCCATGGCAAACAATGTCAAACAATACATTCAAAAAATCAACTAGGACTATCATGTGTGATCGCATCATGTTTGATATATTGGTGTGCTGCTTTTAAGGCTGAACACGCGCTCATTCTTTCCGGCACTGCATTCAAAGGGACGTATTGAGAAGGCAAACAAGGTGCACCACCTCGCGCTGAATGTGACTCGTTTTGTAAATTAATGTGCATGTATGTGTGTGTGTGTGGGTGTTGAAGAAATTGATTTGTGTCACAGGATGACAAAAATATTCAGAGATCCAACCAGCAACTAGCAATCCGACCCAGGCCAACATCCGTAAAGGTGTGAGTCTGGCCTGGTCAAAGTATGGAATTTCGAACGCGTCAGGACCTGATATATTGCCTTGCTGACAAAACAAATTTGTGAATTCAGAAGTATCCTCCAACAGTTTCGGACCGCACCTGGCCCAGGTGGATGGTGGCAAAACAGTTGGCTGGCTGGGCAGCTTTTGATGAACTGGATTCTGATGAAGAGTCCTGATCCTTTGTGGATCCCCGCGGGCTAGTTTTGTTGTGGGGCCAGTGCATTTACTGGTCTTGATGTCCGACTGGCTGGCATAAGGGGTGAGGACCTACCATAAGCACATGCAGGCATGCATGCATATGTTTTCCAGCTCAGTGTGCAACTACTAGATGTGTGCGACCCCCCGGCCTGGCTTCAGTCAAAATATTGGGATTAGCGATCGATGTGTTTTGAACACGTCTGAAGGGGTATAGTTGCTGGAGAGTGAAGAAAACACACAAGTCCCAACAGTGTGTGTGTGTGTGCTGTCTCAGCTGTGCAAACAATCCACTGTTGAGACCAACTGTGAAGGATTGATTGTGGGATGGCAGCTGTTGGATCAAAACAGCCTTTTTTGATCTTTCATAGCCCTGACATGCACCGGTCACCCCCGCGCCAGTCACCCAAGCAAGGGTCTCCTTTGGCTTTGAGCGCTCGTGCTTCACAGCTCCTGCTGTGTCTTGGGGCACCATTGGTCTTGTTGCACAGCTGCAGAGAAGTACACTAGTGGGATCAAACACAGTGCAACATACATGCAATTTCCATGGCAACACCAAACAAAAAACTGCTGTGTGAAACTATCCTCTTTGCCTGAGTCAGCTAAGTCTTCATTGCATAGACTATGTTGTGGAGAATACTCCGCCTGGAAGTCGGAGTTCACGGGTTCTACACTTAGATATTGGATACAAAAGCAACACCAACACCCCCACACTCTGGGAGGAGTGTGGCTGGCCAGGCTTTGGTCAATGTGGATCTCTTTGCTGGTCAAGGTGCAATCTACAAAGCTTTCAGTACCACCCTTATACAGATTGGACTCGATGTCATATAACAATTCGGAGTGATTACTTGTGGGGAGTTTCTTTGCATCTCGCATTGTTCTGGTTCTATGAACTGAATACACCAACACTTTGCACAGCTGAGATGCCAACAATCTGAAGTCGTGTGTGGCTTAGCATCTGTGGTGTGATGCGAGCCTTGTACCAGCTGACCAATTGCATCAAATTTTGCGTGATGGGGTCAGCCCAAACTATGTGACTGGGTGTTACTTGGGATGTTTGATGTGGGTTACCCTGAGGAAAGGCTTTGACAAAGAGGGAGGACCTCAAGGTGACATTACCACAACGTCTTGTTCTCAGGTATTTGGTTCCCAACGTCATCAGTAGCTAACACCCTGTGTGTGCAATTTGCACCTAACGGCTGGCTTCATGGCCAGCATCCAGTTGTTGCTCAAAGTGTGTGAAGGAGGGCTGGCCACGGCTGGCCCTCCTTGTGGCTCATTTGTTTTCTTGAACCGAGCAACATCGGGCCGGACCAGATCTCGGCCATTGGGGTTTGGTGTCAAGGAGTATATAAGAGAAGCGAATTTGATCCTTGTTTGCAATGTATAGCAGGTTGACCAAAACGTTTGAAAGTCCACATTGAAAGGAACCACCCTTTGAAAAGATCTATCCGTTTAATGGCATTCAAAGCTTGTACAATTGTTGGGGTGTGAACTAAGGGTAACATGTCGGATGTGCCTACTTCTTCTCCTTGGGTTTGCCAGATGTGTTGTGTGTTTGGTGGAGCAACCGTCCTCCACGATGATGCTGGCTTTTCCATATGTTTCCTGGCTGGCAAAAACCGTGTCCAAGTTTTTGCCCTGGCTCATCACTCGATTGCCTCTCAGCTGTAGTTTATGCACTTCTGGAAAACTGAAAAGCACTAGCTCTATTTGCGATTGCTCACACTGCTATTGTCTTCTAAGTTGGATGGGATCCTGGGGGCATCAGAACTTGAAGCCAACTGTGGTGTTTGGCAATGCGCTGGGAACTTAATCCCTAAAGCATTTGACCGCTGTCCAGGAGTGCAGGGTAGTAAACATGCTCCAACATTGGTCTGGTGGTCTGGTTCCTGACTGCTTGTGTCTAAGACCTTGGCACTACCGCCTCAAGAAGAAGCTTACCAAAGAAGTCCGAAAACGGCACCGCAAGTCCAAGGGCCTTGTCAAGAAATACATTGACAAATCTGGCAAGAAGCGTGTGTGTTGGTCTTAACTTCCTTCTGTGCATGCACAGTGATTCACATTAATTCATATACTTTGCCCTCCAAACCTGAGGTGTGGAGTCTCCAAGACTCTACGTGCCTCCCAGGTTTACCCACAGGGGTATGGTGAAGCTGTGTGTCATTTTCATCGCACATGGATGGTTCCTTGACTGTGGTATATTTTGAGGCTATCCCAAGAAAAGGGGTTCACTCTTGGCATGAAGCTTGCATCAAAAGAAACATGGCCTCCCTCACCCTTTCACCGTTGCCCTCTCGCTGCCTCAGGAGAAACCTGCAAATGTGGCTGTCATTCGGGAGGCGATCTATCCACCTCAGGGTGGCTTGCCGGATGCTTTGTTGCGTGTTTGCCAGGCCAGGTCTCATACTATATGCATGCTTTGAAGATCTTTGAAGCATTGGAACCCTGACTGTGCAATGACTGTGCAAGCATATGGTTTTTAATAATGATGGTGGTAAGTACATGTGCCGGCGGGGAGGCCCCCTATCGTTGGCGCCATGCTGGCCTTGGGGAGCTGAAATCATTCTTGATTTCAGAGAGGAATGCAGGGAGGTATCACCCTGTACTTCATTCAGGGCTTGAGGATTGAAATGTTTCGAATTGGCCTTCTAATTTAGTCTCAACTGTGATTTGCTCACAGGGTGACCAGCAATTAGCCAAGCGTCACATGACACCCTGCATGACGGCTAAACAGTCAAAAACAAAAAAAAGAGGACCGTGAATGGACCGTGAACGACCGTGAATATATCGTGAACGGACATTCTTGGGCGTGAAAGACCATTTTTGGGCGTGAACGACATACCCCCTAAAATGCACTCTAAATTGATGATTTTGGAACATTCATGAACTTATAAGTTTTGGAGTGGCATGCATTGAGTGGAGCTACCATTTTGGACCTTTTGACCTTTGGAACTTTCTTTGCAGCTATTTGGAGTGTGTGTGTGGGTTGGCTAAGCTTAGCCGCCGGTAGGTGCCATGTTCGGGTCTGGGTCGGTGGCTGATGTCCTAACACGTGCTGCCCGCCGAGCCGGGAAATCAGCTTTGGGGGAAAGCTGTGATCCTGAAGCCGGAGACACCAATCATGATGTCAGGACTGGTGGACCAACAACATTGTAGGGTAATGCTCTATTTATGTGAGTGACATGCTCTTCAGTTCAACACCATAATTCATCTTTTAGGGATATGGGCGCCTGTGGTGCTCTTTTGGGTGTCACCGGGTGGGAAACACGCGAAGCAGGTTTGACACGTCGATCCTCTTTGTCTCTTTGCCTTGATGCACATTGTTCGATTTCACCAATTGTATTTTGGTCAGCATGTGAGGTGACCCCAAGACCGTTTGATGTGATCCCAAGACTGCAACATCATTTTGTCTGTATGCCTAGGATCCTCTGTTTGACGTTTGACTTGATCTTCAATTGGGGTCACACAGTTAATCCAGCCAAGGTGTGATTGGAATTCACCATTCTCATCTCTTGGGCAGGACTCAACAACAAGCGAAGAAGCCAAGAAGAGTTCCACCTGAAGCAGGCACAGGAGGGTGTTTCATCCCTGTTCCCTTTTTCTAGCTTGGGAGCCCAGGCGATTGCATTGAGGCAAGCGCGGCCTGTCATAGAGACAACATGAAACTGAGCTGGTTCACTACCTACATGCCATATACATGCATTCAAGTGGCTAGCTGAATCAAACATCAATTGAACAGAATGTACGTCATGTTGTACGCGCATATATGTATCACGCACTGTTTGTGCATGATGCGTGACCTATCGACTTACTGTACCGTTTGACGGGACCTGGACAGTGCGTTTGCTGCTGGCCAGACTCGGATGCCACAACGGTGCCAGCTACAGCAGAAGAACTGCAACAAGAGTTGGTGACACCAAGGGCCAAGATCAAGAGATCAGATGCGGCTGCAGATGTCAAGAATGTCTCGGCACCGAAGCTAGACCGACGGGTGCAAAGTCAGGCCATCCTTGACCCTCTGCCAAAGGAAGTGGAACCTGCACATGCTCCACGTCCAACAGCTGCGAAGGCCAAACCCCAGCCCCAAATTCCCAAGACTGAGGAGGCTGAGGTGGCAGTGAAATCAGAACAGCTCTTGTCACTGTCACTTCCTGCTGACTTGCCACCTGATGTTGCTGATGCAGTGCGTGCATGTTTGGCACGTAAGTCCACTGAAGAGTTGGCGGCTGTATCCCCGGAACCTTCCCCGGCTGTCACACCAGGGCTTGTCACACCCAAGGCCACCAATGTTGGCAAGGCCACCAATGGTGACAAAGCCATCCAGCAGCTACAGGAGCCAGCGCCATCTGATGAACCAGATGCTGAGGACCTTGTGCGCGAGAAGGAGGAGCTTCGAAAGAAAGAGCTTCTAGTGAAGGCAAGAAAAGAGCATCACGCTCGATTCATGCGTTTCTCTCGATCTCTCTCCAGCTACTTGGCACCATTGCTGTGGTGGTCAAAGGTATTTCTGTGGGGTGCGCTGCAAAGAATAGGGCCATTCAGGGGTTGACAAACGGGTTTTGAAGGTCGATATAAGTCATCACAATTTGTATATTGCACTGGCCAGTGTTTCAAGACTTCCAACCTGTGCTGTTTTCCCTTGTGTGTTGCGTGTGCTGTTCTCTGAGGCCCCTTCACGCCGCTGGAAATTCGGCGTGCAGGGAGGGCGGCGCACCGGGACTCTGCAAAATTGCAGATCTTGATGGAGCAATGGGCCAGCGCCAATGGCGTCTGGTCCCAAAGCGAGTTTTACCTCCAGGTAAAGCAAAAAAGGAAGCATCGCTCCTATGGCAGCCGACGCTGGCTAACGAGAGGAGAGTTGCTGCAAAAATACGGCGATAGTGCAGTGGTCGATGCAATCATTGCAGCCAAGATGGCTGATCCGGAGGCTAGCAAATCTCAGGTGAGATGCCATCCGGATTTGCACGGACAAGACACCGAGGCTAGCCTGCTTTCTGTGTAGCATGCAACATGCAATGGTTGGTCTAAATGTGATGCACGGGAATGGTATCACCTGCGACATGTACCAGCTGATTAGTGTAAATCTGATGTCTCCTGGGCTAATGAGCTGATGGTAATTCAAATCTGTTGTGACTGCCACGCATGAGTTGCCATCATGCATGTATGCTTGTGGTTACGCAACACAGACGGAAGCGCAGCTTGCAGGAGACTCGGCAATACTTGGTGTGGGACAAGGAAGGCGAAGAAGACACGATGGATGATGTCACCACACAGTTGTTTGAAGCTGCTGATGCAGCTGAGGACGAGGAACCAACCAAGAAGACCAAGAAGGCTTCAGGCAAGTCAGGGAAGAAGCAGAAGGCATCACACAAGAAGAAGAAGAAGCAGGCTAAGAAGGGAGGCAAGAAGAAGAAAGCTAAGAAGTCTTCATCTTCGTCTACTCAAAGCAGTTCAAGCAGCAGCGCTTCCAATGATTCTTCGGATGAACCTGACTCATCTGAATCTGAGGCCAGGCTGCCCACCACTTGTTTGAAATCATGGTCCAGATTTACTTGTTGTTTAATAGCTAGTATTTGGTTTATCTCAAGCATCATTATTGATGATCCAAGTTGGATGGGATTGCATAATTTAGCCTCGTGAATGGATCGGCAATCGGGCGTGTGCAAAACCAATGCTGTGGAGGATGATGCCAAGACCAAGAAACCTGCTACCAAGAGGAAGGGTTCTGGCACTGGTGATGAGAACCAAGATCGGGCAGATGCAGGGAAGAAACTAACAGAAGAACAGAAGAGAAAGAAGGCGGAGAAGGAAGCAGACAAGAAGAGGAAAGAGGAGGAGAGAAAGAGGGAGCAGGAGAAAAGGAAGGCTGAGAAGGAGAAGGAAGACAAGTTGAAGAAGGAACAGCGGAGTGCAAATCAGGCGTGCGCATGTGTGTGTGTGCTCTCAGAGGTTGTTGACCGACTTACTTGTGGTTGCATGTGTTTCCAACTTACTGTGGGGTGGGGTTATATTAAGCAACTTTCACATGACTTAGACTCGTTCAATGTGTTGCTGCTAGAAAGGTTAGGCTGACAAACCATGTGTCAAAGTACCCCAATCCAAATTTCCTAAGGGAACCAATGCAAATGTAAACTACCTCCCCATTGCTTTGTCAGGTCATCACCAAGCTTGGATCCAACATCCAGAGAGGGACCAGCCTTGACGACAAGCTCTCGAAGATGTCTGGGCCTTGTGCGCTGCCGGGTTGCTAAAATGTTTTGGTGAAAGTGGGTAGTGATAAAACACTGTGGGAACATCATCCTCATTTGGTTATCGTCCTTTGCATGACATGTGCTTCTCCCAGGCATGAATCTGCTTAATTCCATGGCCAGCCGAATTGTTCCCATAGATAAAATCGATCTTGGCCTTGATGTGTTCGACTCATTCCTTTTTTGGGTTGATTGGAACTGAACGTTCTTTTGAGGAGTGACACCATCAAAAGGGCAGTTCTGGCAGAAGTGCAGCCACACCTCAAGGACCTTCGAGAAGCCCGGAAGAAATTGGAGAAATCTATTGATGAATCCAAGGCCATGTATGAGCTCCAAGTCTTTTGAATGTATGCAATGTATTGTATACTTTTGAGTGTTGGAAGGGCAACCGTCCTGTCTCCGGCCACCTATAACATGCTCCTTCCAGCTGAGCCCCCATGCTTTGCTGCTGCAGGTGGAGAGCCTGGGAGACATGGCGGCTAGTAAGACCCATGCTGAGGAGGTGATCAAAAACTTTGTGAATTTTTGCTCTAGCTACAACATTCCAAAGTGACGTTTTTGTGGGGCTGGTACTCCTTGAATACCTTGGGGTACCAGTGTCGAGAAGGCCAGCTCCCATCCCTTTAGCCCTGATGTGGGCCTATGTTTTGTTTGTAGGACATTCATGGGTAATGAAATGACCCTGAATGAGATTGAATAACCGGTTGAGGGTTTGCAATGTCTATCTTTCTGCCATGACACCTATATTGACTTGCATTGTAGCTTTAACAACTGTGGTTCTGTTCAATCTGGTGACAAATGATTGTTACCTAAAACGTAAATCACATTTTTCGTGGCTGTGCACAGGGGTGGGGTTGTGGGCTTGGCACTGCAGTTGACCCTGGAACCATTCACAGGCCTGTGTGCGGGATCATTTCACACTGGCTTGCTTAGTTCAGCAGGCTGCAGAAGTTTGCCATTACCTGTACCTGCTATCCTCGAGATGGAGAAAAAAACATTGTGGTGGGCATGGTCTGCTTGACACAGGATGGAATACACATTCCGCAGGTCTTGCATCACACCCCCTTTGCCCTTTGCCCAGCCAGAGGTACCAGAGAACCTTCAGTGCCACACACCTTGCACCAGCACTATGATGATGTTGCTGCTGGCGACACTTGTCTGAACATTGCGTCATATTGACATCTGGTTGAATGATTGTTTACATCCTCTTATATGTGACCATGTTGTGTGTGAGTGTGTATACTGTGCATGCAAGTAAACCATACACTACAGGTCTGATCAGTAGTATCGAATGACAAGGTTTTCCACAAACCTTGTTATATTCGTATCATTTTGGGGAGGTTTGTGCCCTATACACTGGCGATCCCTGAAAGAGCCCTGCTGCGCCAGGCAACCTCTGTTGCTGCAACCATGAAGCGGGTGCGGAACCAGGTCGCCGAGCCTTTGGTGCAAAGGGTGCCTTGCGGTGTGGGTGGGAGGGCAGGATCGACAGTACAAGAATCCAGTGCGCAACAGTTGTCCAGTATAGTCACCTCCCTTTTTAACTGTTGAGCATGTCCATCAACCCACATCCCAATAATGCATCAAACTGCACCAGAATCTGGTTATGGTTTGCCTTGGGTGTGAATATATGGCTGGGTTGGTCAACTGGTCAAGGGTTTGTTTCTCGTTCTTGGCACCACTTTCTCCAGGAATGCGGTGAAGCTTCGCACATTGAAACACAAACCCTGGCTTCGAGATCTAGCAAGAATGATGCTCGTGATTTTTGGCGATTTGCTGACATCCCAGTCGTGTCTTTGGTTGGAATTGGGTTCATTTTGCTCTGGAGTTGCACTTAGTTCATTCTATAGTAGTTGATCGATTGACATCCAACCCTGCAATCTGTGATTTCCATTGCTTCCCTAACCCTGAACATGCTCACTAGAGTGCGCATGCTGTTCAATATGCAATGATCCAAACATCCCTGCCCACCCAGGCCAAAAACGTAGACCTATTTTTGATGATTCAGTGGTACTATTTTTGATGCTATCCAATCTCAGGAGGTCGAGAGTATAAAAAATCCCAGTTGTGGACAAAAAGAGCCCTCGAGGCCTGAGGGTGCAATCATTCCCGATACTACACCCTCATCGGGTGCTGAGCTTCCTCTTCAACGACGCAGGGATTGAGATCGACCCGGCCAAAGTCCAGGAATACTGGCATCACGCTAGATCAGTAGGAGATCCCTGGTCAATATCAAGTCCAGCAAGCAGCAGTCACATTCCTATTGGATTGCATGGTGACGGTGCACGGCTTTGGACTGTCTATAAAGTTGAAAAACACCTGGCTATCTCAATGAACCTAGTGCTTTTCAGGCCCCGAAGTACTCGCCACAGTAGATTTGTATTATTTTCAATTCCAGTTGACAAGATGTACAAGAATCGCACCTTGAACAAGGTTTGGGAACGGCTGACATGGTCACTGAACTGGGCCTTTGTGGGTTGCAACCCGCGTAGTGGTGTTGGTGGCTGGGACTTGCATGGTGCTGATGCTAGTCGAGCAGGCCAGCCACTAACCCGTACAGGTCTCCAGTTTGCAGTAACTGAAATTCGTGGTGACTGGGAATTCCACAGAGATTGTTGGAGATTCAGTTGCAGCTGGCTTTCAAGCGGCCCTATGTGTTTCCGATGTCCCGCAGTTTCGAGGGGCAATACATCATATCTCTACTACAACAACGATGCTGCAACATGTGCCTGGCATTCTGAAGCGTTTGACCTGCAGCAGTTTATAGCCAGACGACTGAAAGAGAGACAACTGTGTGGCTGAGCTCTAGCCTAGCACAACTATTAATTTGGTGGTCCCCTCCTGTGTATTAATTATTTTGTAGCTAATTCACAAGCCACTATTGGTCGGTGGGTCACCAATATAAGGTCCGTTGCTGAAGCTGAATGGATTCCACCCTGGAGTCATTCGTTGGTGCACCATGCATGCCATAAACCTTGGCATTCTGTTTACAGCCAATGCAGCATCAGTGAAGCTCGGTGTGCCATACAGACCTGTTCCATCCCTTTTCCATTCTGTCCCCTGCCTCGTTCTGGTAGAAGAAAGTGGACCCAAGTCAAAGTCAAACATGTCATCCTGGAATGTGAGCTGAGGATTCTGTTGTGCGAGGAGCTGTCTTTTTTGGGCCACCGCCCTTTGCAGGGCAATTGGATTCAGCCTACAAAGACTTCTTGGCGTATTGCAAATCCCATGGGATTCGTCACTCGCAACCTCCTTTTGTACCCAAAATGGTGCTTTTGGCAAATAGAATCAGCAGCGTTTGTTTTGAATGCTATCATGATATTGCCCTATTGTCCATCAAACAAAAGCGCTTTGGGCTTGAGGTCTGGGTCCACCACAACAAGTTGTTGGGTGCTGGTTGGTGCTATAGATGGATTGGTTGTGGGATGCGGTGGGCATCTACAATCAATGTTGGCTTGCTAGGGGCATCCTCAAACATGCATGATGTTGGGCCAATAGAACATAAACACATAAACATCCCAGCATCACCAGACATCGTCCCAAGGTCAAGAAGAAGAATGGCCAGAACCTGTTCACTGCAAAAGCCTTCAATGGCCGCTGCATCCTGAGCTGGCTAGCAGACCGCTTGATGACAGCTGTGGAATCACACCCGCAGCACCAGATTTTGAATTTGACCAGTTCAGCCATGACCCTTGGCTGGTATCCAACAAGAGCCTGGATTTTGGGGGTATTGTTCAGGTCTTGTTTTGTTTGCTACATTCCTGTCATGCCACACACCCAATCAATCCGCTGCCGGGCCCATTCCTTGTCGTCTTGAGGAGTGCGTTGGCGAAGTTCATGTACTTGATGGAGTGCAACGGCCGATATTTGACGCATGGCAGTGGATTGGGTGTTGGGATGCTTGCTGGGACTCAGTGACTTTCTAAAATAATAATGCTGACTCTTGAACCAACTTTCCAGTGTGGTCAAGGGTCCTACTGGCCTATTGGCATTCTAGAGTAGTCAAGAAGCTCATGTCAGCACATGGGGAAGGTTACAGTAAGATGTGTGGACAGCACCAGTGCCTTAGGAGGCCTAGTTGATGGACACAATTCTGGCCACTCTCTGTTGCCTGGAAAGGACACCTCAAGCTGCCCAAGAGCTCTACAATTCAGGAGCAAACTTCTTGGAACTCTATCGTATTCTATGTGTGGAGCACATAAGGCACCGATTGAAGTGTGTTCAGGGATAAGAACAGGTCTTTGTCTACACCCTATGGTTCCAAAGAATATGTATAAACAACAGCGCGTTTGGATCAGACTATTTCCCTCATATGCCAAGTAGACTTTTGGCAGTCCCAGTTGAACACACTGCTCACACAGTGATTAGGCTGCCATGTTTGTGTTTTTCGTTGTCCTTACCAGGCTGAGACAGAGCGCATGGCTCATGAAGCCGAAACATCATGTGCCCAAGCTGAAGTTGGTTCAATGTGATGTGTGCATGTGTACCCATGTGTGCAAAACGTGCTAGTACTGAACTGTCGTTTTTGTCATGTATCATCATGAGCTTGCTGCATTTTATACCAACCAAGGTTCTATCTCACATTGTGCAAGACATCCTGCATTATAGAATCTTGTGGTTGCAAGTATGCAATTCCCTCCCATTGTTGTGGTGCTACATGTGCACTATACCATGTACTAAATCTCTGGCTTGATTTGTTGCCCAGCAGCCGATGCTGGCCCAGGAAGCAACCCTCGTTTTGTGCACACCTACTGCGATGAAGATTGCCTTCGATGGGTCAAAAGTGCCTAGTATGAAGTATGTTGTGCAATGCAATGTGTCCTTTAATGTGTCTTAAGATCTTTAATGTGTGTGTTCTGGTGCCAGAAGTCTTGAAAAAAACATGATGTTTTAAGGTGTGGCGGCCAGATCCCATCCCAAGACGAGATGTCTGTGGATCCTAAGGTGTTCCAAATTGAGGCCATGTGCTTGAAAGCTTGGTCATTTGGATGTTGAACCAGGGTATGTGGCCAATAGCCTTTTGATTGAAGTTGTTTGCCTCTGGGCAGGATGAGAACATTGAAACACTGTGCTTCTCGCAGGAGGCCGGGCAAGTTTGCACAAGTTTCAGTTGCTTTTGCCTCCAGCAAGTGTCGGCCTATATTTATTTGTGCCTGCAATACCGGTGAAGCTTGCAGGACGCGATGATCCAGCTTACTTGCCAAAAGGCAAGTGCCAGGTCTGCGGAGTGCTAGCAGATGTGAAAAAGGCATGTGTAGCTGTGAAACTGTGTGTGCATGGTATTCAACTGTGAATGCCAAAAGACTATTTGGCATATGATGGAAATAGTCTTAGCCAAAAGCGCTATTGTTTAAATAGTCTTTGGAACCATAGGGGTTGTATATTATAGAGTACTATTGGTTCATATGGTTGTTATACAAATATGTACAGAAAGTACTTTTTATATCACCATTGGTTCATATGGTTGTCAAACAAATACATGATAATATGAGAGAGATCGAGAGAGTACTCTATATATATATTTACCATTGGCTCATAAGGTTGTGATTATCATACTATCTGATATTATATGATGACTACAAAACATATGTCGTTCATATAAACTTCTGCTCGTCTTCATGCGGAACGACCTCGTATACCAAGGTCTTAAGGAGTTGGTCGGCTCGAAGCGACCAGCAGTTCTGGTGTCTTTCGGGGGTTCTGTGAGTTAGAGCTCATCAAGCTGATCCTCCAGAACTTGAGCTTCCATAGTGGCAAGGACCAAGGACGCACCGGCAACAAATTGGCGAAACAATTGGCGACTCAACATCTGCTTGCGCAGCTCGGAAGCAGCTTGGGCTTGCGGCTTTCTCTTTCGGGGATTCTTCATCTCCCAACAGCGGAAGCTACCGGCGATCGCACCGCCGTGGAGATGGCAAGGTGCACTCCACTCACGATCGTTCCGATCGATTCGTTGCTGTTTCTGGTTCCTCTGCTCGCGTTGGCGTTCGGGGTCCGCCAGGTCAAGAAAAGGCTTCTGAAGTGGAACATTCATATCCAACCCACCCAAGAGAACCCCCAGAAATAAAACATCATGATGAGTTTGACCGTCAAACGCACCACCCGTGTCCACTGTCCACCCCAGGTGTCCCTCCACCGAGCTGCACTTCGTCCCTGGCCCAAGGGCGCTTTCCGACGGGAGTCCCTCGGTGTTGGGGCGCCGGTGGGTGGTCAGGGGTCAAGCTCAGGACGGGGAAGGCTCCAAGAGTAATAGACTACCTGGAGTTGACCCATTCGTCCCTCGGAAAATGGGAGTTCGACCAGAAAAACTCCCATTTTCTGAGGTACTTTGGAGTCCAGGTAGAACAACATTGTCCACCAGCTAAACAAGATTAGTGAACACCTGGTCTGTGTGTGTGTGTTGGAATGTTTTTTGGATGTCTATAATATAAACCAAGCAACAAAACAACTGCATGGGTTAATTAATCACCCGTGTTCTTGGAATGTGTGTGTTTTGGATGGGCTTGGGAGATCGGTAGAAACTTCGAAATCCCGTCCCCGGCTCGGACCGTGTCTTCGAAACAACATCCATCTGAGGTTCAAGTCTTTGGATGAAGAGGTCATGTAGCATGTTAACGAAATAAAACAGCAGACATGGCTTGAACAGCCTCATGAACAAAACCATATAAAACCCCTCCAAACCATGGCTCGAAGAACCTCTTCATATGGCGTAGTATCACTTATCACCCTCTATACATGGCTTGGACAACCTCTTCATATGGAGCCTCTTTCACATCACCGGACTGTCAGACTGGCCCTCCAGGGTCCAGCAAGAGGTCTCCCAGCTCAGTATTTAGATCACCCATTGATATGTGGCAACCAGGTCTCCTTTCATTTGATTTGGGGTCATTCCAACCAGGTAGATAGTAAACCTATACGTCAAATATATACGCATCTGTGTTGCGTCACGTGGCAAAAAAGAACAATGGAGGTCATCCTGTGGGCTTCGCGACTCTCCAGATCGACTCGACCCCAGGGTCGGGTCGGGCGCCCGCCGGTCGCGCTTGGGCCGTGGAGTTGGGGGACGAACCAAAACACCCGAAGCGGGCCGCGTTTGGGGCCTCCAAAGCCGGGGGGGTTTTGAGGAAGCAAAGAAGGGGCGAGCCCGGTCTTCACACGGATTTCTTCCCTGGCCCAGAACCTGGAAACCCATCAAGAACCAGCATTTAAAGCCACGAGACGATGTGCTCCTCATGTGGAGGAGATATACTCCCTGACATAATCCTGGAAGTGGAGTTCACCGCCTGTTGAGTATTCGGAAGATTCAAGGGACTATGCCATCCAATCCACTTCCATGATTATATCAAGGAGTGTAGAGTTAGTTGTTAGGGATCCAACCACATCCAACCGGTGGATCCGTTGGTGGCTTAGGACCTTTAAGATGTGGCTGGGGGATACCGAGCCCTAGGGGATGGTCCATGATGCCCATCTGCTTCAATTAGTTTTTCCTTTTTTCTGCACCATTTTTTGAGAAAGAAACATGTGATTTTCACATACTCCAATTCTTTTCAGTTACTGAAACAGTTTCTCAATCAATCACTTGAAACTCAACTTTTCCCCTGTGATTCTGTCAGTCTGTGACTGTGTAGCTCCAGATACGTAGGGAGAGACCTCCCTCTCCCATCGGCGGACCTCCGAACCCCCTTCCGCAGCCCAAGCCAGGGAAGAACCCTCAACCTCTGTGGACCCTCGTAGCTCCAGGGGAGGTCGGCCCGATTACTTACACATGACGCACACAAAGAGAGCGGTTCAAGCGACGAATTCAGAAAGGGGGTGACACCCATACATGGCAATGGGGTTGAAACGGGAAATCCAGCTGTATTGCTGGCGTAAGGGGTTGGAACTCCCTGAAGTTCTGAAGAACTCCCTGTAGATCGTGCCGGCTCCTTGGCAGCCTGAGCACCAGCTAGAGTTGAAGTCTCTTGGGTAGCGTTCGAACATTCCCAGTGCACAGCCCAAGGACAATGGACAGCACCCATGCCATCCGAGCATCTTCTTCTTGCCCTTAGCGTGAACAGCCACTGGGCATGTGGTGTATCCATGTAAAAGGTTCGTTGCACTTGGTATTGTTGACTGGAAGTGTTCCACCTCCAAAGAGTCCTTGGGACCAATGAGCCCGAAACAAAATGCGATTGCTGTGACAGAACCGGACAAACTAGACCATGGGACCATGTGCATTTTCACTCCTATCTTAAACGAAGCAATGTCATCGCCGCTGTCTGAAAACCACTTGCAACCAACGGTCTATCACATTGACACACCGCTCTTTGAGCCAACGCTCCGTTGGGGAGTTTATATTGGGTATTTGGTGACCAGAATGTTCAGTCACAAAGCCCAACAAAATGGACCACGGACACAGCTACCGGAGGCCTCAAACAAGAGATATCCTGCAGGATAGGCATGGCATGGGCGGCCTTCTGACAGTTGGGACAAGGGCGTTAAGGTCCACACCAGACTACCTCACGGAGAGCCTGATTTTCTCCCGCCTGCTTTTTGGCAGTGAGGGAGGTTTGGTCTCCAGTGTCCGTGGCTCCGCTGACATGAAGCGGCTCGGTGGGACCAGTGGGGAGGGACGCTACAGATGTGGGGAGGGTTGATCCGGATCAAATCCGGTGACGGTCCTTGACAGAGAAGGACTGCTGCTCACGTTCTGTTCCACTGAAGCGGTCCGCTTTGCGAAAAACAAACAGATTGCCTTGTTTATCGTAAGGATATGGCAACAAAAGGCCTTGACCGGACCAGCAGTCCTAGATGTGATTTCTTGATGCGGAACTGGAGGTGAGTTGGATTTCCAGGCACGCAAGAGCTTCAATGGATGAGGTCAGCCATAAAGTCGAATGCATGGAACAGTACATTTGAAGAGATCTGCATGAAATGGAAAGAGGCTAAGCCAGGCTGGAAACGGATGGTCAAACAAGCTGCCCTAAGAATCCTTAGGCTCTCCATGGCAGGGGTCGGGCCCGACACCTGTGTTTGAGGGGCCGGATTCTCAACGATTTCCAGGAGGCTGGAGGACTGCAGTAGCCAGGCACGGCCTTACCATGGACCTGCCAATGACCAAGAAAGGACGTGGTGGAGGCACCGAGGGTGCACGAACGTGCGCCTGAGGTGCCTCACAACAGCTGCATGACATGCCACCCAAACTTGTCATTTGTTTTCCAAATTTGCTGCCATGCGCTATAAGTCTCTGACTTACGGATAGCGCTTGCAATCGGAAAAAGATAGGTGGTCCATTGAAGAGAAACCCTCTCTCTTGAAGACATTCTCAGCTTTCCTCCTTCTCCGTGTCTTCAACGAAGGGGGCCATTGCACCATTCTCAGCGATACACATACTCGGGGCCAAGTCTCGCCTTTCTCCTACATGCCAGGTCTCAAACTTTGGGTCAAAGTGCGCTCTTCCATTCCCTGATCAAACTTGGCGGTGTTCTCCTGTCGAGATTAGCTGCAACTGTCACCAAGTGTACCTCATCCTGTTCAAATACCAATACCCACTCCAACCCACATGTCTGTGGCCACCAAGTTTCGCAGCGCTCTCCTCACCGCCACCCACTGCTGTGGCCCTGTGCTCATCATGCCCCAGTTTTCTCCATGAAACAGCCTCGTCTCCCCACAACGTGGAACAAACCTCATGCACTAACCCGAAACCTCAAGGGATTCGAGGTCCCCCAAAGCTTGCGTTGTAGCATAATACGGGAACAGGTCACTTGCCCCGTACTTCGCACGTTGATCAACTCTTTTCGCCAGGTCTGTCAGGTCTGGAAAGACCCGACGTCGCCGGAAAACCCGAATCCGTCCACCCTGTGCAGATGGATTTTCGACGTGGTCGTCGTGGATACTGGTAGCAACTGGTCACTGGTCATGTCAGATTCACATACCGAATCAGCAGGTTCGGTACGGTGATGGCTTGGTGGTTTGGAGCGGCCAAGCACGGCGCTGCTGGAGCGATGCAGGTGCGTAGTACCTGGTTTGCCTGTTCATCCCATACCCGCATTGGTGTGCGTTCTGTTCTCATTGAAACGGGGGTGATAGTCGAGGGAATGAGGGAGTGTCACAGGTGGAGTTTATATAGCTAGGCGTGGCGATGGTGTAGGCATGGCTGGGAATGGCTAAGCTACAGGCTACGAGCCTTACTAATCATTGTCACTCACTCGAAGAAGCACTTGACACTTGCTAAGACCACTGACCTCTTTCTCTCGCCGACCAATGAACACTCATCAATGAAGAGGGATGAAGATTCCGGGATGATCAATAACGTAGAACAGTATGCTCTAAGTATTCTCAACATTGATATACTGTATATAATAAGTGTATAATCGTCATAATATATCATATGTCGTCATGATCATCAACATGAGAAATTGGGGCATGGCACGTGGGTAATGGGCAAACTCTACGGTTACAGGAACCTATATATAGATGGTCGGTCCCCTTTGTCCTTTACAGGCTTTACAGGCTACGAACCCTGGGTGGCGCCTGCCCACACCAAAGATGTCATGTGACTCGCCAGGCGTGGGTCTTGTATTGAGTCTCTTGATGCTGGGGCTTGCTACCCTCCCATACGACCCTCCCATACTCCGGCGCCATTGGCGTCATGGAGCTCATTGACCCATGGGCCATGACCCACCGGTGGACCGCTGGGGTCACGGGTCAAAAGAACCGAAGGTGGACGAAAGGCCGACAGGGACAACTGCTCCAGCCACCCAGGGTCAACCGCTCCAGGTGACCCATGGGGACCCCCCCGACAGAGCGGAGCGAGCGAGCGAAAGGCGCGAGCGGAGCGGGTGAACGGCGTGGTCCAGTCTTCGTGCCAAGGAGCTCTGCCCATGACATCACGAAGTCCGAAGGCCAAGGAGCTCTGCAGTGTTCAACACAAATGAGAACACAACCAAGAAACATACTCTCTCTCTCTCTCTCCTCATTAATTGTTTTTCCTTTCTCATTGAAGGTTGTTTTTTCTTGTTGGATCTACTGCCAAGAATAGCTCTTCATGGCCTGGAAGGGCTGGTTGATGGGTGTTCTAGGCGGGCATGCATATGTGAAGACTTGTGTTTGCTGTGCTATGTGTTCAACACTCAAACCATAGCACAGTAGATGAGCTCTTGGCAAATGAGGAGCATGTGGGTATCGGTATGTGCGACTGTCAGGTGTTCTGCTTGTATTGGACATGCCACTGGCTGCTTTGCTGTCAAGGAAGACCAGCGAGACGATCTGCATTCATTCATTGCTTCATGAACTGTGAACGCTTCCAACGTAGAAAGCCCAATATGCTAGCCAACAGGGTTGGAGGAACTCCCTGCTAGGCTCCAAGAGGCTCCTACACTGGTGGACCCTGGAGTACCAGCCTGATGATGGTCCATCTAGGGGAAGTGGAACAGGTCGAAGTACCCACTGCCATCTGGTTATGATGCCTCTTGGCACCGGGGACCCCCATCTGTCGGAACCGATTTTGAACCGGACGACCGGGTCCGTACCGGGTCCGTCCCGGTCCACCGCTAGCCGAGCTGCTACCGACCAGCACCAGCTGCAAGCACCACTGCAGTTTCCCTTTCACTCAGCCGCTGTTTTGGTTTTGGGCAACACGGAACGAGGTTCTCGGGTGTGCCTGGAAAAAAGGCACCCTATCCCAGAAGCCTTCAAAAACACTCATGTCACAGGCTCATCAATGCTCACAAATGCTCTTGGTTTTGGTCCCAGGGCATGTCCGATGCGCAGTGTGGATGGTGATCTTTTACAATATTTTGTGGGTTAACAGTATAAAGAACATCTGTTGTCTGGCTGGTGAGAATGTTCAAACAAGTCTGTCCAACCCCAACGTCATCTTTTCAACCACTTGGTCCAGTTGAGGCATCTTTCGCCCCACAGATGTCCAACTCGTCAGGCAGCACAGATCTTCTGGGCTGCGAAGACAAACTCCTTCCTCTCCAGTTCGCTTTTTGACTCATCGAATCTTGAGTATAGTGGTCCCCAAATAGATGACCGTGGCACAGAGTCCAAGACATTTCTTGGAGGTCTATACCTGGATCTTCAATCGGCATGAATTTTTGCCGGAGGTATTCTTCAGTGAAAAGACACCGTAATCAGCAAAAATGTCGTTTTAGGGATGGCAAACATATGCTTAAAATCCATGGACTGGGAAAGACGCCGTTTGGACGCATAAAAGCACTGTTTGGATGCCTAAACACGCCGTTTGGAAGCCTAAACGACGTTTCTTTTTTGTTTTTTGCTGGAAAATGCTGGTCACAACGAAAAACGCTGTATTGGAAAAAAGACGCCGTAACGGCATGTCTATTGACCTTGGCAGCCCTTGTCGCATGCTTCTGCGGAATGGTAGACGGTGTTGGTGGGTATCATTTGTTTTGGGGATGACTCCCATGCAAAAGCAAACCGAAAGGGAAGGGAACAGCGGGAAATTGGAAATCACGGTGCTTTTCTTCGTGTGGTCCGCAGATGTCCGCAGTTGCTTCATGAAAGCTCCAATTGGTGCCATGTTGGTGCGTAGTTGCAGTGGTTGCTCGCTTAGAAGAGACAGCAGCAGGTCTCTAGATCATCGTGCTTAACGTGGTTCTGGTTCTGTCTCACAAGTTCAGCTTCAGGTTGTCTGATCTTTTCCAAATTTTTCAAACATTGGCTACACATTTGCTGGTGGTCTCCTTTTTTCTAACTCATCTTAGACACAAAAAAACACATTTGCTAGTGACTATGATATAAATCTATCTCTCTCTCTCTCTCTTTCTCTCTCTCGCGCCCTTCAAATCCGCTCACCGCGGCGTGCCATCCCGTGCTTCCTCCGCACACCACACGACCCGAAAGCCCGCCGAAGCGAGCCGCTTCGCCGGACGGGTCCCGACGCTTCAAAGTCGCCGGTGGCTCTGCGACCGGGTGGGTGGTGCCTCCGGTGGTACCTCCTGCGGACGGTCGAGTCGTCGGTGGTGAACCGTGCGAGGAGGGAACCGGTCCACCCTGCTGGTCCCGTTGTGAAAGGACGAACGGATGGATTGACTCCAAAAGACCCGGATGGCCTAGGATGACCGGATGGCCATGAGCCTTCCACCCTTGAAAGAAAGGTTGAGTTGGTTTTGTAGTGTAAACTCCAAAAAGTGCCACAATGATTGTTCGGTTTAAACCAATGGTTCTTGGAATCCTGGGGTACACACAATGTATATGGCGCCGATCTACGGACTCTGGCAGACGAAGCTACTCCGCTTCTTGACTGACTCACTGTCTTGCCACAACTCACTTGCACTCGACTGTCTTGCAAGCAAAGTCAAATCCAGTACAGGCCATGGTGAAGCCCCAGCAAGATAAATGAATAGATTCATATTCACTAGTACACGCCTTTCCTCACTTAGAGCATCACAGGGTAGTAAATTATTCTCTGGATGTTCTTTTTCAACCAACTGCCGTCTTCGCGTTCAGGACCCTTGGGGACCCTTCGTGTTGTTTTTCTTTATCCTGCCCCGAGAGCCTGAAGGCTCTCGACACGATGCCAAGGGCGGCAGAAGAATGGGCTCATGCCTTTCTTTTCACAGACTGCCGTATACCGTATACCTCCGAAAACCATGGCTCACTGCTATCAAAAGAGCGCAACGCCATGAGAAAAGACACGTTTGCCCCTGTTCCAAAGAGCCTTGTTGCAGGTTCTAAAGAGCCCTTCTGCTACACCCAGGAAGAGACCCACATGAAACCTGATGGCATGGACCCAGACTGTCCTCTACAAGCTAGTGGTTTTCAGGTTCCATGTGGGTCTCTTCCAGGGCGTACTGGCAGTGGACTGGGAATCCACAGAAATCCACAGAAAGTGGCCCTTTGTTCTAACCTTCCTCAGTGCTAGTAGTTGTGGAAAGCGCCGTGTTGCAGCTTTCCCATGTTTCTTTTTAGGAAAGCAACTTGTTTGTCATGTCCTGCTGCGGAGAAGGCACCACCTATTTGTAGAGGAAAATTGTCTTCCCAGGGGCCATTGTCCACTTCCACGACTATTTCAGGGAGTGTACTGAATCTCAGTGCCCCTCAGATGACATCCATCCAAGGACTCCTTGCTTGGTTCCAGGGGGATTCATCCTTTTAACCCCCCGAGATATTTAGCGCAACAGATCTGACTTGCAACATGTGGTAAGTCTTTATGGACACGGCTCATGAAACAAAAACACACCAAGTCACCTCATCGAAAATCCCTTTTCCTCTCGCCAACGGCTCGAGATGCTACGCAATGCTGACGCTCGCAGCGTCGCAAACCTACCGGAGCTGGGTCTGAGGGGCGTAGACGAATCGAGGGGCGTAGAAGGTACACGGAAGTCTGAGTTCTATATAGACCTTCAGAGTGTCTGAAGAACTATTACACAGAATTCTGAGTGTCTGAAGAACTCTACAAGGTCTACACTCCCGAAAACTAACATAGACCCTGACGTCCTGGCCCCCTGGGTCCGATGGCTTTCCTCTACCAATGGTTGGGGGTTCAGGTTCCATGTTCGTCTTCCAGGGTGTACATATAGGTAAACCCCTGAAGAAGCAAACCCCGGTGAGAAGACCAAAGAAAGCAGGAAAGTCTGAGTTTTTGAGGGTGGGTCTTCTGCCGAATCTCCAACAGCGAGCTGGAGAACCTGGCAGCTTCCCACGTCGGTCAACACATGCGAAGGATGGAAGTGGATGGTATGTCCGACTCAAGGCAAACAGGACGCAGTGGAAAGAGCTAGTGGTTCTTCACTTCACCAAGCAATGGAACAGCAGCTCGGAGTGTGTAACACACTCCAGTTCCAAATGGAATGCTCTTGAGACCTTTTGACACCGTAGATGCGATGGGGGGACGCATCCCTGAAGGTCCATCTACCAAGGGGGCAGACATATTAGTCCTCTACCATCCGTGGGACTGGCAAGACATGCACCAAAACAGCAGGTGGGACACAAAAGGGGTCACAGAATTCTACACTCCCGAAAACTAATTCACATAGACCCTGACGTCATGGACCCCTGGGTCCGATGGTGTTCCTCTACCAATGGTTGGTGGTTTTCGGTGGTTTTCAGGGTCCATGTTAGTCTTCCAGAGTGTAAAGCTCCTTTGTGTTCCCCAGCTGTGGGGGGAATTCCATCCGAGTCTTCTGGAGCCATGGCCAAGCACCTTCCACCATCAGAGATGATTTCCGGGAGTGGACGGTGGAAAGAGTATCGCTTCCTCAGGCGCCCAGGCACTTCTATGTTTCAATTCTGCACTGGCCACAGCGAGGTTGGTCCTCTCGGATGGCAATCCTATAGCATCATTGGTTGGGTCATGAGTGTCAACCCCAGCTATTCATATCCAAGACCAAAAAGAATCATTTGTCGTGTTTCTTATCCCAATTATGGCTTGAAGAAGTTGTCTTGTGCGAAACTGAATTGGTTCAAATCTCCATGAGATATAATCTATATTAATCTATCATATTGAACACATATAATGACACCAAAAGAAGTCAAAACATTCGATCCAAAACTCTTTCTTATCTTCGTTTTCTGCCAACTGTTACTGGTAATGGTGTACACCCTAACCCTATTAATTACTAAAGAAGCAACCAGAATATCTGAATCCTCTCGTGAGGGTCATCTTTACCCTCAGTTCTTTCTGCATCAGACTGTACCAGTCCTTGACACCACCCGAAAAAGGGTTGCCTCTTAGGTGCCACCACCTGGAATGAAATGTCTACACTCTGACGAACACATCGCACCCCCCTGTTCTTTTCTTGACCATGACCATGCCATCCACTTACTTCCAATGTGATGTCTTCGTCAGAGTGTCGTCGAAACCGGACTTCGCGCCCAGAAGTGGAACCATCAGTGCCGCCCAGAAAAACTTCATGATCTTCATGTTTGCAGGAGGAACACCAGCACACGGCTTGTCGAATATAACCGTGACCGACGGACCAGCGGCCCGTCGCTGTTGAGGTTTGCTACCATGAGTCACTACCCAAAAGACCAAAACTGAGCCAGTGAACACGGTGACACCTTTGACAGGTATATCAAAACCACTCGAAGCCAACCACCCATCTCACGATCTATAGATGAAGACTTTTGACAGGTGCACATCAATGATCAGTGGTCTTCCAGCTGAGTTTGGGAAGACAAAAGCCAATCTAGTCTTAAGAGTTCAGAAGCCTGCAGGTGAAGAGTATGTCCAAATATTTTTTTTTAATTGATTTTTTATGGTTTGGATATGATCTGGGAATATGTGTTTTTTACACTTTTTTAAAAATGAAGCCGCAATTGGAATATGCGGCACTGTTGGGTGCTCACTGTGCCCTTCCGGTGACCACACAGCCGCCCCTGGAAGATCGCAAGGATCCGGTTTTGGGGCTCCTGTTCCATATTCCGGGTTGGGTGTTTTACGTGGGTTTGGGGGTACTTGTGAGGAGGGCCCAGGGCCTAGGGCGGGGCGTGTGATGGCAGTCCCCTAGAGGCCCGACACCAGACTCACACCTTTGTGCAAAGTGTATTCTTCCCCATAAACAAAACCTGGAGCTCTGGAGCCACCGTATTTTTTCTGTAAAGAATCCATATTGTTGGAGAAGGGTGCAAATCATATAAAAACCTTAAAACACACTGTGTTGTATGGTTTTTATATGATTTTTACTTTTCTCTAACTTTTGAACTCATAAAACTACCAATCTGCCCAAACCAATAAAAAAAAACATAAAACACAGTGTGTTTTATGGTTTTTACATGATTTGCATCCTTCTCCAACAATATGAATTTAATATGGATTTTTTTATGGCCTTTTTCAGGCCCTATGAGGTGAGCCGAAGCACGTGCCAAACATACCCAATTGTGTTGCCTGGGGGGGGTCTGACAGCCCCCTACATGAGAGTTTCCAAGTTCCCCTATATGAGAGTTTCCAGCCTGCCCACTGACAACACATTCTGCTTATTGCAGCCCTGGAGCGCCTATTTAATAGGCCTATTTAGTAAATTTAGTAGTCCTCAAGCTGTAAAAAAATCATTAAAAAAACATAAACATATCATAAATCCAATTTTAGCCTTTTTCACAACCATAAAAAAAACATATCTTCAAGCCATAAAAAATACATTTAAAAAACATTAAATATTTATGGAAATGAGCCCTGTGCAAAGGTTATGAACTCATAAATCTAGTCGCTGTAGCCAAGCGCCGCCCCCCTCGGTCGGGGGCTTTGGAGACCTTGGTCGGCCGTCCAGGAGCGTGAAAACCAGCCGTACCGCACAGAGCCAGTCCAGCTTATCCAGCGCCGCTGGTCTGTGCAAACTCCTGAAGCCTTGGAAGGTATCCTGATTTGTGCCGACTTCTGATTTTCTATGATTTTCTTAGCTGGTCTTCTCGTGTTTATCTGTTATTGCACGTACAATCCCCTTTGTTTTGGAGTGTTTATCATCCCCTTGTTGGTTCTTGATGAATAGACTTCCAAGTTCATATTCAGTGCATAGTGAACTCTCCAGCCCTGATTCCAAAGCTGCAAAACACACCAGGTACTCTTGGCAGTAATAACAGTCGACTTTGTAGACATCTGTGACCGGAACTGTGACTTAGGTGTTGTGCCTAAAGTTTTACTTGGATCTTACTGTGCTATGGACCTTATTAGTGTTTTCTTGGATCTTATCAAAAGACTTTGAAATCAAATAGGTTTATATGCAATGCAACACTGTCTTATACATGTTCTATTTTTTTCTTGGGCCCTTTTGGAGGACAAACATCTTCTACAAAAACAAGGGGTTGCCGCGGTTGCCCCCGTCCATGCTGTTGGTGTTGTTGTGGTTTTGGTTGTGGTCGTTGTCGTTGTCGTTGTCATTGTCGTTGTCGTTGCGGCTGCTGCTGCTGCTGCTGGTGCTGGTGCTGGTGTTGTTGTTGTTGCTGTTAGTGTTCTTCTTGTTGTTGTTGTGGTTGTTATTGTTTTTGGTTTGTTGTTGTTTGT